AGCATCTCCAGTGGGTATGAGGCTTCTGCAGGAAGGAAGAATTGTCACTGGCTGTGCCTATGTGGCTAGCCTGGGTCAGTTTGACACACAATAGCCCTAACACTAGCCCTTGTTTGGTCAGCCTGGCTGCCCCTCACACCTCACTGCCAGGCTGGCTTGAAACTCTCCACTGCCCTTCATAGGTGGCATCTTCTTCAATGGCATTACTTAGGAAAGAAGAAACGTTAACTGTCCAGACCTGGGGAGGCTTGGCACTACTCAGGGACTCTTCCGGTCAGTTCCACTCCGATACTAGCTACATGGACTTAGTATCGGGTTCCAGGAGTTAGGGACTCAGCCCTACAAGATGGCCTTTGATTTCAGGTACCAATCCCAGCCACCTATACTTGTAACTAGTTAGCCGTGCAGGGGCTCCCCTGACCTTCTCCTCAATAGCTGTCTCTCAGAACTCGGGAATGCTTTACTTAGATCACAAGTTTATTGTGAAGCAGGCAGCTCAGGAATGGCCAAATGGTGGTGATAAAGGGTGAGCTATTGGAGGGGTAACGTAAAGCTTCAGGCCTTCTCTGGACTCACCTGGCTCCCAGCATCTTCAGCCTCAATGTCTGAACCCTGTTGTTTACAGGAATTTGTGAACTTTGGTTATGTAGGCAAATTTAATTAAATCACTGGCCTTTGATCATTGTCAAGTCCTACATCCCCAGAGGGAGAAGTTTGCTGAAAACTCCAACCTTCTAATCACCTGATTGGTCCCTCTAGCAACTATCCCCATCCCATCTCCCCCCACCCCTCCACTGCCCCATCCCTTACCCCCTACCCTGCCAAAGTCATTCCACTAGCTTAAATTGATGTGTATTCCAAAGGAGGTCCTGCCAGGAAATCCCAAAGGTGTAAGAAGCCCTGTTCTGGTAGAAAATACAAGTATACAATTATATCACATGTAGAAGCTACATCAAGGCCCCAACACCCTGTCCCTCCATCTTTCGTTCTGACAAATCCATCACCTCCAGAGCCATTCAAGAGAACTCCTGTGTGTATTCAGAGCGCCAGTTATGTGTGGTTTTGTCCCTTGGGGTGGGAACAGAGGGTGACCTGAGGTCAGCAGACCCAGAGATGCTGGAACCAACTACTTGAGTCCCTCACACCCAAAATCCAAGCAAATCTTGGTATAAGAAAATTCAAATATACAAAAGCTGAAAGATACACCCAGATAAAAATCCAAGTGACTGATTCCATTGCCAAAGAACTTATGTCTACAGAGAAATTTCAAAGAAATTTTTTTAACTCTGTGTGTGTGTGTGTGTGTGTGTGTGTGTATGCTGGTACATGTGGAGGCCAGATGTACCAATCTTGGGTGTCATCCCTCAGCTGCTATCCATCTTGTATTTTAAGACACTGGCCTGGAACTTGACAATTAGATGAGGTGGGCCCAGGGAGCACCAGGGATCTGCCTGTGCCCACTTTGCCAGGACTGGTGGACAGGAGAGGGCCACACCAGGATTTTTAGCATTTTTTTACATAGGTTCAGGAGATCAAGTTCGAGTCCTCACAATTGCATAGCAAGTACTTTACTGACCGAGCCATAGACTTGTTTACCTGATTTTGAAACTGAGATCATAAACACGCAGCGCTGAATTTGCATTCTTTGCCATTTTAAAGTGTATAGTTCAATAGTGTTGAGTATATTCACGTTGTTGTGCAAGAGCATCTTGGAAAACCAGGACTTCTATTAAGCACTAATTCTCCCTCTTCCTTCGCTCCAGCCCTTGGCAATCACATTCCTATTTTCTGTTTCTATGATTTAAACTACATTACTGTCTTAGGGTTTCTATCCTTGTGATAAAACACTGTGACCAACAGCAACCTGGGGCCGAAAGGGTTTATCTTACACTTCCAGGTAATACTTTATTACCGAGCAAAGTCAGGGCAAGAACGAAGGCGGAGCCCGTGGAGGAGGGCTGTTTCCTGGCTTGCTCTCATGGCTTGCTCCGCATGGTTTCTCACAGCACCCGGGGACCAGCAGCCCAGGGGTAGCACCACCCACAGCGATGTGAGCCGTGGCACATCTACCATCAGTCAGCTCCACGAGCTTGCCCCCAGGCCTGTCTTAGGCACTTCCTCAGTTGTTTCCACCATCTTAAATAACTGGCTTGTGTCAAGTGGAAAAACCAGACAAGCAAATGACTACCCAGCACAATGAGATGTCTCATATGAGTGGAATTGCAGAGTATTGGTTCTTTCAAGATTTACCAAGTTGAAACAAATGTCAAGATTTCCTTCTTTGGAAAGGCTCAGTCAGGTTTCACGATATGCAGGGATCATCTGAGCAGTCTGTCCCCTGGCTGCTGGAAATAATACTGCGGTATACTTGAGTGTGCAAACGTCCCTCGGAGATTCTGCTCTGAATTATTTTGGATCCGTACCCGGAAGTAAAATTGCTCGGTGACAAGGTAGTTCCATTTTTAATTTTGGGGGCACCCCCTCACTGTTTTGCACAGTGCCTGCATTATTTAACCTCCCCACCAACAGAAGACTTCCCGTTTCTCCACACCCTCACCGACCCTCGCTGCTCTGAGTAATTCCTGTACTTCCTGAAAACGTAATTCCATTTCTCCTCGTGCACATTCCCCACAGAAGCACTTGCACACCCCTGGATGTGAGAAAAGTTCTGTTACCTGCGAGAACTAATGAATCGAGGCCGGGGTGGGGGGGGAACTCCCTTATGCAAAATTTGCCCCTATCCCCTTGGCTCGAATGTCTGCCAGCTGACACACAATTGGTACTTCTGTTGTGAACTGTCAATAAAGTGTTGTTCCAGAGCCGATGTGAGGGCCTCTTTGTCTGCTTGCTTGATGGATTGATTTTCACTTTTATTTTTAAAGAAAGAAACGTTTAACCTGGGCCATCCCAGTCACCGCATTTGCGCCTATTACTACTCAGGTTAACACAACCATCAATCACACACGGTCCACAGACCTCCCAGTCTGTGGGCACTACACAGAGCACAGAGGTAGGTGGGTTTCTAATCTAGACAAGCTGAACAGAGACAAAAGGCAAGCATGCACCTAAGACTCGCCAGGCTCCTCTGGCTGCCGCTGTCTGATGATCTGTGATACGGGGGTAGTTCAACAGCAAGAAGGCTGTCATAGAGCCCGGACTCCTTCGCTTCCTCTAGGAAGTCACACAAGCCGAAGCTCTTGGCCAAGCAGCCAGAGGTAGGCATCGGATCTATGCTCTGACCTCTCTTGTCTTCTCATGCATGGGGAAAGGCATAGGAAACTCGGTAGGTACAGTAACCTATCTTACACAGTGGGTGTACCACTGTCCTGTTTTCCTGTTTCTGTGGTAAACACTATGACCAAAAGCAACTTGGGAGGAAAAGGTTTATTTGGCTTCCACATCCTGATCACAGTTAATTGTTGAGGGACGTCAGGGCAGTAACTCAGGCAGAAACAGAGGCAGGAAATGTGGAGGAATGCTGCTGACTGGCTTGCTCACTTCCCCTAGCTTTCTTAGCTTGCTTCCTTATATGACCCAGGATTAGCTGTCTCGGGGTGGCATCTCCCACAGTGGCCCTCCCACACCAATCATGAATCAAGAAAATGACCCACAGATAAGCACACAGAACAATCTCCTCTGACAGGGACAATGACACCATTAATGTTCCCTCTTCCTTTGTGTCAAATTAATAAAACAACAACAACAAAAGTAGCACAATTAGACCCTGTGATGGTTTAGATAACCCCCATAGGCTCATATATTGAATGCTTAGTCCACAGTTGATGAGCTATTTGGAAGAATTAGGACGTGTGGCCTTGTTGGAAAAAGTGTGTCCCTGTTGGAGGAATTGGGCTCAAAGCCCACACCAGACCAGTGTCTCATCTGCCTGTTACCTGTGAATCAGGTTATAAAGCACTCAGCTACTGCTTCAGCACCATGCCTACTGCTTCCCATCATGATAAAAATGGACTCACCCTCTGAAACCGTAAGTAAGCCCCCAAATAAATGCTTTCTTCTATAAGTTGCCTTGGTCACAGTGTCTCTTCACAGCAGTAGAATAGTAACTAAGATAACTCCTTGTCAACTTGACACAAATATGCATCACTATTTTTTTTTTATGTACATTGGTGTTCTGCCTGCATGTATATCTGTGTGAGGGTGTCAGATCCCCTGGAACTGCAGTTACAGACAGGTGTGAGCTGCCATGTGGGTGCTGGGAATTGAACCCAGGTCCTCTGGAAGAGCAGCCACTGCTCTCAACTGCTGAGCCATCTCTCCAGTCCCAATGCATCCCTATTAAGCCACAACACTTTAAACATTTTCCTTTCTTGTTTATCCCCCAAATCTCAAGTTACTATCACAATAAAACATGGTTTAACTTTTAAAAATCTCACAATCTTATAAAAATTCACTACTTAGAAGTTCAATATTTCTTTAAAATATTTGTTTATCTTAACTGTGGACTCCTATAAAATCAAAAACAAGTAGACATTTTTATTCCAAGAAGGAAGAAGCAAGGCACAGTTACAATCAGAAAAAAGCAAAAGCAAAATCCAACAGAGTAAACGGCTCATTACCCAATGTCTGGGACCCATTATCATTTAAGCTCCAAAAGGCTTGGGTAGTCCCCCGTCTCTGGATCTGCCATCTGAAGTACAGATAGCTTGTCACATAGACTCAAGATAGCTCTACTCCACACCTGTCACTGTCATTGGTGGTCACCCCAAGGTCCTGGCATCCCAAATAATCTGGGACTCCCACTGCCACTGAGACTGCACCTTCACCAATGGCCTCTTTGGGGATTCTAACTCTGCTACACATGCCAAGCCCCAGCTTCTCTCAATGACCCCTTCAATCCTACAGTATTCGTGCTGCTAAAACTAATACCATGTGGGAGACACTTAGACATTACCAAGTTTGGTTGCCAAATAGAGATGTGGCTATGCACCCCCCAGCACAGCTTGTGTGCTGCCTCTAAGGGAATGTAACCCAGATCTCACCTCAATGGTATTGACTTCTTAACTAATCACAGCGGATGCTTCAGTTCCAGCCAACCGGCATCAGTTATTCCAATAAAGCAAAGGTTTCGCTTCCATCAATTTTTAATCCAAAATATCACAAATGGTCCAGATAGAGTCATTACTTTGCTCTGAAACTTCACGAGCCAGGCCTCCTTCATCTGCATTTCCCTGGATATTCTTATCTACCAAGTTCCCACAGCAACAGCACAGTCAGCGCTGAGCACTTCCAGCCCACGGTTGCAAACGCTTCCCCAGGCTCATCTCAACGCTCCAGCCTCAGTCTCCTGTCACTTCGGGCTCCCTTTGCCCTCCTCTTCAGCAGCTCTCTTCAAGGTCAGACTCCACCGAGCCTCCTCTTCCTCATTTTCATCTCTTTCATTCTCACCAGCTCCCTCCTCCTGCTCCCTGGTTCCTTTCTCTCCTCCTCTGCTTCTTTCTTTCTGGCTTCCTCTCCCCTCTGCTTCTCCTCCAGACCTCTCACACTCGCTCTGACTGCTCCTCCATGCTCTTCTCCAACGTGGTGCAGAGCCAAGGGTGGCCGGAAACAGGGGTCCCAAAGGGAGACACATAGAAGCTTGGGACCACGGAGGGTGACTGACGGGGCAGAAACTGTGACAGTGACAAAGGCCAAGGTGGCTGTGATTATGATAGTCACATTTGCACGAGAATCGGAGGAGTTAGTGGAGGGAGAAGGCACTCTGAAGGGAGAGAGTTGGTGCTCTTCTACCCCAGAAGTCACCTGAAGAGGAAGTACCTCTTGGTGAGAGCAGAAAAGAGACCATATGCTAGAGATCACCAGATGTGACATCCAAACTTGAAGACCTCTGTGTACAGCTCTCATGTAACTTTCCAAACCCCTAGATACTAAAAACTCCAACTCTCTCCTGAAATTGATCAATCTGTTCACTTGATCCAAGAGAGAGGACTCTGATCCAAGTGGTGGCCAATGAAGGGGATAGAGAGACGGCTCGGTGGTTAAACACACTGGCTGCTCTTTCAGAGGACCCAGGTTTGATTTCTAGCACTCACGTGGCAGCTCACAACTGTCTCTAACTCCAGTTCCATACACACACTTAACGGTGTCTTGGAACTGTCCACTCCCCTCCCACCACAGCCCCCTTCATTTTTTCAGACAACAGAATTGACAAAAACACAGAGAGACACACAGGCAACAATAAAGACAACCAGGGTGGCCATCACACAGACTTAAACCAGGGGATCTGGTGACATCTCATCTGGATCCTGTACATGAAGATTGGGCTGCACCCAGCCTTTCCTGAGTGTCCTTTCTAGAAAGCATCATAAGCAGACTCACCTTTGGAGGAGAGAAATCCAGGCAACTTTCTGTAATCTCCCATTTAGGTGGAAGTGGTGGGAGCCTCTGGGATAGAGGAGTTTCTGGGGTCCTATAACATCTCAGGGTGTGCACCCCTAGGAACTGTCTGTTCTCGGCATTGTTGCCCTAGAGGCAGTCTGAGAACGTTGGTCTCAGTCTTTGGTAATCTGACGGTGCCTCAAAACTGCTAAAAAATAAGTCTACCAGAGAACACACATGGACACTCTTGTTTTTTTGTTCAGTTGGTTTTGGTTTTTTGAGACAGAGTTTCTCTGTGTAGCTTTGGCTGTCCTGGAACTCTCTTTGTAGATCCCAATTAAATGCTTTCTTTCATGAGAGTTGCCTTGGTCACGGTGTGTTGTGGGATAATCTTTTTGTACACTGTGAAGATGTGTCTCTGCTAAGGTATCTTCTGATTGGTTTAATAAAGAGCTGAATGTCCAATAGCTAGGTAGGAGAGGTTAGGTGGACTTCCAGGCAGAGATAGGAACTCTGGGAAGGAATCAGAGAGGCAGGAATTCACCATCGAGACATGGAGCAAGTCGGATGTACAGTATGAAGGAGAGATATGAGCCATGTGGCAGGACATAGATTAATATAAAGTGGTTAATTCCAGTTTTAAGAGCTAGTTGGGAACAAGCCTAAGCTAAGGCCAAGATTTCATACTTAATAAGAAGTCTCTGTGTCATTATTTGGGAGCTGGTGGTCCAAGGAAAGCCCAACTATGATAGTGTCTAGTCACAACAGTAGAACAGTGACTAGGACACTCCCTAAATATATTAATTTTTTTAGGGGGTGGGGAAGAGGGCAGCAATCAGAGCTACATCCTGATCCACAGGCCAAGAGAGAGGCACTGGGCTTGGCATGGTCTTTTGAAACCTCAAAGCCCACCCCTAGTGACACACTTCCTCGAACAAGGCCACACACACCTCTTAATCCTTCTAATCCTTTCAAATAATACCACTCATTGGTGACTAAGCATTCAAATATACATTAATAATGCAAAGAAAAACACATTTTTTTCATTAAAAAGGTAAATTGTCAATTTTCCTCAGGGTCCTTGGCCACCAGCGCATGAGGGAAAAGGGAGCAGAAGTAGCAAGCAAGGTTCGGATGGCCATGAGCATGACGGGAAGAACTTCCAGGAGTCAGCTTCAGAGAGACAGCTGCTTTTATTGTTTCAGGGGTAAGGGATGTAAGGGTTCTTAGGGTTACTGGCAGGAAGGGTTGATTGGTTCCAACACAGCACTTAACTATCATGGTGGGAGGAAAGAGCAGGCCTTGTGTGCCGAGTCATACAGCTTTGCAGGGAGTTCTGTGCAGAGTCATCCTCCAAATAAGGTCAGGCATCTGAGCTTAGCGACACTCTCCAAACAAAATTAGACAGAGAAGAGGAAACCCTGCTGAGAAAGGAAGTCCTCCATTTTGCACTGAGCTCAGAGAGCTATCTGGCCATGGTGGGTTGCAACCTTAACAGCAGGGTTCTCCAGCATCTCCCCCTGTTTTATTTTATGACAAAGAGGTGTCATCATAGGTTTCAAGAGCCTTATAAACTGTATTGGAGGGGTCCAGGGTCTGGTAGTGAACCATAACCTGGTTGGGGGTAATTCCAGCAATGGTAGTAATCTGTCGTCAGAGACATTGTATAAGGCAGGGAGCAAGCATCAAAATAAAATAACAGCATAATTAGGGGGCTAACAAGGGGTAGGAGCCAAGAAAACAAGGGGTTATTGAACCAAATTAATTGTTCAATGGGTTGGAATTAATCTCAACATCATTTGATTCATTTACACAAAAGCGACATTCTCCTCCCAATACTATGCAAGTCCGCCCGTGTTCAGCAGTTATTAAATCTAGGGCCCAGATATTTATCTGTTGGGACCACAGTGCAATTAAATATGTTTCCCCTTCTTCCTAATGAGCGAAGCATCAGGTTAAGTTCAGCTTAGTTGGAGTTTTGAGCACCTGCCGTCCCTGAAGAGGCTGCTCATAAAGACCTGTAGACCTAAATGAGACAGTCTATTACCGACGCGACATCCTTTGCTGAGCGGTGGTGGCAGTGCACACCTTCAATCCCAGCACTCAGGAGGCAGAGGCAGGCGGATCTCTGAGTTTAAAGCCAGCCTGGTCTACAGAGTGAGTTCCAGAACAGCCAAGGCTACACAGAGAAACCCAGTCTTGAAAAAAAAAAAATTACTGTTTGTGACTTCTAAATCATAATAATCAATATTCAACATTATGCTCAAAGGATGCAAAAAATTCTGATAAAGTTTCCCCATGGTGTAGCATGAATCTTAGAAGGTCTTATTAATAAAATCAAACCTGGAAGCCAGATATTGGGGTGAACACTGGAGGATCAGAGAAGCAGAACAAACCACAGCCACCTTACCTCGCCAGTTCCTCAGCTGATCCTGTTTCCTCAGACTGGAAGCCTCTGAGTCCTCATCCGAATGAATCTCAGCTGAACTGCTGCTCAAAAGCCTAAAAGCGTAACCAGCTCTAGTTTCTGGTCCTCATGCCTTAAATACCTTTCTGCTTTCTGCCATCACTTCCTGGGATTAAAGGCATGTGTCACCATGCCTGGCTGTTTCCCCCCAGTATGGCTTTGAATTCACAGAGATCCAGATGGATCTCTGCCTTTGAAATGCTAGGATTAAAGGTGTGTGTGCCACCATTTTCTGGCCTCTGTATCTAGTGGCTGTTCTGTTCTCTGACCCCAGATAAGTTTATTAGGTTGCACAATATTTTGGGGAACACAATATCACCACACCATGGGATTTCCACTTCTCCTGTTGTCAGCCAGTCATTCTCACTGGTTAGAAAGGTGAAGCTGTTGGCACCAGATAATGATAGTGTGTGTGCAGCTCTATGAATAACTAAAAATCACTGCTATGTACTTTTAAAAGAGGACACTTACATATAAAAAATCTCAGTTTAAAAAATACTCTTTAGATGATTTTTGACCCCAAATCAAAGCCTACCTAAAACTGTTCTTCTAAAAAACTTTTTAGACAGAATACCTTGACATGCTCTTCAATGTCAGACATGGCTGTTTCGTAAAGACTGAGGGTGATGCAGGCATAGATCGATGGAGATATTTTCCAGAACTATTTTCAGACTGCTCTCTTCATTGGATAAGCTTCTTTCAAAAACTCTTAGCTACTCATTGTTAAACCACCCTTTCTGGCAAGAAGGGGCGGGGAGACTATTTTCTTTCTTTTCAAATGGCTCCAAGACAGCACCCTGTAAACAGTCACTTGTCACCACAAAGACCTACAAACAGGGTGCTTGGTCTTTAGCAGAAGAGATGAACTCTCAGTGGCACTAGAGACTTCCAGATCCTTCTCTGTATCAACACAAAAGAGATGCTCAAATTTCACGCAACCATGTTACTTTTAAAAAGCAGGTGGACTCCATCCACACCGTGCTATGGCATGTGGTCCATTTCAGGCCTCGACTGCTCTGTGGCAACAGTTTGACCAGACATAAATCTCTATGACTTTAAACAAATAAACGCATGGCAAATACATTTCCTGAGTAACACTACCCCCATATGCCTCCAGCATCCTCAATTTAATTCTAGCCAAAGCAGTTACTCCATCAAATGTTATCTTCAACCACTGCCCCCTCTGAGCATTGTCTCTAGTAGAGATGCTATTTACAACTGAGAGCATATTTCTCCTGGCATGCTTCCTGTAGCTCATTCACAAATGTGTACATGTTAGTATCAAAGCAGAAGCTGCATTTATGTTTCAATTGACAGTACAGCCATCACTTCCTGGTTTGTTTCCATCACTCATCCCTGTCCAGTTTTCTCCGCATCCACCAGCAACCGTTGCAGCGAAGGGTGAGAATTCACTTCATTCAGTCATTCAGGAATGATTTATTGAGCACCTTGAATGAACCAACCACTGTCTGAGGAAGTAATGAACAAAATTAAATTTTTATAAAGCTACACTACTATCAAGAAAGGCCAATGACAGACAAGTTTGAGAAATCAAATACAAATTATCCTGTAGAATCTGCTGCGGATTGATTCCAGGACACAAATATCTTGCAAGCTTAATCAAGTCTGCCATGTAAAATAATAGCTTATGAAACAAAAATGAACACAAAATAACATAGTGTCTGAGTTAACCTACCCCTGTCTTTTATGGTTTGATCATCTTTGAGTTATTTATAATGTCCCCCCAAACGATGGAAATAGTGATTAGATCAGAATGTTTAGGGGGTGACAACAAAAAATTTCTGTACATGTTCAGCACTGACTCAAATTTTTTCAAATATGTTGTTCTGCACCTCATGAATCCACAAATATAGAACCAGTATAGATGAAGGGCCAAGCTTATGTGCCACGAATGTGTACTCACAGGCAAATTCAGCTGCCTTCTGAGACAGTGGTAGAGCAATGGGTATAGGCAGTTGAAGAGGTCTCTGAGGATGTGACTAAGATTGTCTTGGCCTTTGAGAACAGACTGCCAGCAGATAAGGCAGTAGGAGGAAGTCTCTGAAATAGAAGTCTTACAGAATTGACTAGGACCACAGAAGCTGGTCTACCTGGAGACAGAGCGAGGGGTGGGGATGTGCAAGAGTCAGAGGGTAGAGGGCAGAGGGTAAAAGGCAGCCCAGGGAGGTGACAGAGGACTTTGAGGGCTAGAGTAGGGATTGTGGCTTTTATTCTGAGTGGCAATGGGAAGTCACTGGAAGGTGTGCATTAGATACGGCATGTGGTGATATTTTGTTTGTGCTCTAACAAATAAATCTTGCCTGGAGATCAGAGTGTGGAGCTAGATCAGAGTGTGGAGCTAGCCACTAGAGGCCAGGCAGTGATGGCACACACCTTTAATCCCAGCACTTGGAAGGAGGAAACAAGAAGTGATATGGCTGGGCAGAGAGAAGAAGTGATAAGGTGGGGTGGACACAGGAGCTTGGCCCCTTCAGGCTGAGGATTCAGTAGACGTAAGAAGTCTCTCTAGTGGCTGGCTCCTTTACTAATCTTTCAGCTTTCACCCCGATATCTGGCTCCAGGTTTTTAATATTAAGACCAATTAGGATTCATGCTACGATGGCATGACTTGACATAGGTAGAGGAAAGGATTTCTCTGGCATCACTGGAGAATAGACAGCAAAATGATAAGGCAGGAGCAAAGGCCAATTTCAATTGTCTAGACCAGAAATGAACGCACAGAGTAAAGGTAAGAGGACCTGATAATCAGATTCTGGATGTATTTTGATGCAGAACCAGGGGGACTTGCTGGAACTTTAGCTATAGGGTAGGATAGAAGGGAGATAGCGTGCTGCACAGTTCTAATGTAAGCACTTGAGAGAGGTCATATTCTTGTAGTAGGGTGGGGGTGGGGAGGGAGATGAAGGTGGACCAGGGGTGGAGACACAGAATTCAGTTTGGACATGGAAAGACTGTAGATAGGACTGAGTCTAGGGGCCAAGAAAAGAGTCCCTTGTAAGAGTTTGGAATTACAGGAAGGTGTTTGGAACGGAAATATCAATTTAGAATTTGTTAGTGTGTAAACGGGATTAAAAAAGCCTTGCCACTAGATTTTTCCCATTCATCATTTCACACATATTTATTGTGGTGGCAAGAAGAGGTATTCCTCTGGACAAATACCACTCTTTTTCCCCACTACT